ATAGCAGATATTACACCTTACCGAATCTCACCCGAAGCCTTATCAGCAATAAACAATTTTCTTGACGAATTCCTATACTTACTTGTGGATTCATCCCGTTCTCTTTGCCTGGAAAATATAAAACCAGCAATATTTAATGTGTTACCTACCAATTTGGGTAAAAACTCAATTAAAGAAGCAGAATTTGAATTAAAGACTTTTATGGAAAGTGGAAATTTTGATAAAACTCTAGAAAAAAATGTAGAAATATTTGAACCATATCCAGTACAAAATGTTTTTGAACAATTTCGTATAAAATGTAAATATTATAGTACATTAAGTGAACAAAGTTTTTCTATCAATGATCGTGATCCCATCACAGTGCCTGGTTTGCATAATTGTGAGGGGGTCTATATTTCACCAAGTTTGGCAATCTTTATGACGGCTGTGTTAGAATATGTTGGTGAACATATCTTAATACTAGTGGCTAAGGCTTTGAAGCAACAAGGCGATGCAACTGTGGCGAAAGCCAATGACGTTTATTTGGCATTGACAGATAATCAAATTTTAACCTTATTTCAACGGACTAACTTAAAAGAAAAAATGGAGGCATGTCTTTAAACAAATAAATCTATTTATAGTTTTTAGAATTTATATAATATATATGATGATTTAATCGTATGATGTGTATCTTTATTTATATAGGAAACATTGTCAATACAACCAAAAACTCCGGATTCAAATCTTACATTATCACCGCTATCACCCAAGACGCCTTCGTCAGAAAATGCTACAGGTATTATAGTAAATTAATTCGTTCGTTTATTTTAAATCTCAAGATTATTGGGTTATAACACTATGTTTTGATCGCCAGAAGATATCTTACTTAGTAATCCAACTAAAGGTGGTGATAATATGTTTCGATCACCAGAAGTCATCTCCCCTAGCAGTCTAACTAAAGGTGATAATGCTATGTTCCAATCACCAGAAGTAATCTCACCTAGTAGTCCAACTAAGAGTGGAGATATTATGTCACGATCACCAGAAGTTATTTCACCTGGTAGTCCAATTAAACAAGGCTTCTATAATGAAGTGGGTATAGTAGGATCACGAAAAACTTCCATCGATGACGTTGTATGGAGTAAGAGTCCTACTTCTCCGAATAAAATAATTAATGATAATAGTTATGGAAGGATAAGTTTAGAATCAAGGAATTCAGAAAAGAATAAATTTAATGATCGAGATATTAAAAGTATATCTAGTTTGGTAAGCATTCATTAAAATATTTGTTTTTCTTATTTTTCTTAATAATGCAGTATCATTAATGCACAATTTATTTATAGGACGACATAGACAAAATGATTAGCTTCGAACACTTGATTTCCACCAACCAAAATTTGACATTGAAGGTTTCTCTAACATCAAACAGGATGAAAACCATTGAGGTATTTATTAATATATACATTTACATTATAATTTTATTACAATTTTCCGACATCACAATCCTGTAATTAAATTTGATAATCATCGACAAGAATTTTCCACGACAACTCATCTCTACAAAATAGGTAATTTTAACTGCAAGGCACTTAAAATTACCTATTTATAGTCGGTAAAATGAATGTGAGTCGGTGAAATACTATCTCTTGTTGTATTGTATATCTTTATCCTCATACACTTTATATATTTTGGGCAGACACAAAAACAAGAGCCTCGGAAATTCGAACCTCGTGAACCAGTAGCTCGCGAACGATTAATTCCACCTAAATCACAAAATAACGAAGAGGAGGATGATGATGATTTTGAGGAATTTTTAGGCGGAAAGAAAAAACCTAAAGAAAGTTTATTCGAGTTTTTGAAAAATACAGATCCAGATGATATTTTTAATAAGTCAACGGGAAAACTTAAACGAAAGGATTCGAAAGTTGATCTTCTTCAAAAACGATTATTTAACAATAAATCTGGTTCGGTTCTCGAACGTGCTACATCTAGTCCGACCAATAGTAGTCCGACCAATAGTGTCAGGCCTCGTCATATTCCTCTTATCCCTTCTGGAAGATTGTCAGCATCGAACATTACTATACCATCAAATAATACTAAAACACTGCATCACAGCAAATCCTTAGATCAATTAAGTACTGCTTATCGTAATAGATCAATAGCAAACAAAAATATAGATAAACTTTATAATAGGCCAAAATCAAAAACCGACTCATTAGATTTTGACGAAGATGACTATGATATTGTAAATTTTGAAAAACCTCCTAGACGATTTGATACTCAAGATTTGATTGATTTCTTAAACACATCATCACCACCAAATGATACATTCGTAGAAAAGAAGAAAGAAAAGAAATTTACAAAACTTTTATCTA